AGTTCCTTAACGATGTGGATAGTGCGTGTGAAACAGGAAAATCAACTATCAGAAAGATTTTCTCTCAGGCCAACTGTGATTCTCTCTCTCTCCCTCCAGCTACGTAATACCCCCCCCTCGCCACCTAATAGGCGTACCCCAATGATGTGGATACGACCTCCCGGACCGGCACTCCACAGCGTATGAAGTGCCCTGATTGAAAAGGTATGATGCATCAAAAAGTGCGGACATCTTCAAGAACTAGTGGTCCGTCTATATAGTGAGTGAAGAAACTGCGACGAGGAAACTTCCTACGGAGGATAGCATTTCAAATCTTGTGAAAATTTAGGTACGCATGGACAAGAGCAGAGAGAGTATGGACAACTATAACTTCTGAAACATCCAGTCGGATTTCATCTCAGTTGTGAAGAGTAAGGAAGTCTCAGCACAGCCAGCCACAATCCTTACAGAAGCACAAGCAGGACTACAGAAGCAACAAAGCAGGACTACAGAAGCAACGAAGCTAACAACAAAGAGAATGGATTGGGATGGATCGGTTGAAGACGATGCGTTGGGGTGTGTGGGTGCCTAGGCACCTCTCACACCCTCTCACCATGGTCTCTCGTTGTCCGACACCCTCCATGTCTGCTACAATCACTGCCGACCACTTTTCGCTTCTCGTCCCTCTCTCGCCAGCCGGCCAACAAGAGAACAGCGCCAGTGCAGAGCGTGCAGACAATCAAACCTTGTGAGAGTATGATTAGAGAGAAAGAGGAGCAGAGTGCGCGACTTGACAGAGACAGGGTGATGTCAATACGAGTGTGCTGCTTTGGTTCTCTGCCACAACACCTTCACCTCTCGTTACGAGACACTGCACTGCACTACAGGCTGTCTGTTTTCCTTCCCTTATCACTTTGATGGGACAGGGGCACTAAATGTGAAGCGTTAACCATCAACAATACTTTGGGGAAGCTACCCATGCTTCATGAACGGCAGGCAAGATCAAGCCCTGTGGTTAAAGTACTACTGTGGTTCGCGAGTTTGCTGTAGGTATAGCAGCTAGAGATATCAGTGGCGATCATTAAGCAGTTTCCAAACCTCTCAAAAACTTGCACCACTCCACAGCGACGCAGAGAACCGGGAGTAAACACTTTCCTCAGGTTTTCAAAATGATTTTGGCTGAATGGAGGGAGGGTCAAACGTACACTGAAATATGTTTCGTAATTTTTTGTCTCACAACTCTCAGACCCTTAATGTTTTTGGGTTCAATGAATCGGAATTCTAGTGGGTATTCAGGATCATCCTTCTAGACCTCGAATGGCCCTTAATAAGGGTTACTGCTATGACTGAGCAATTTTCTTCGACTGAAGTTCTAATAAGAGTCCCAAACACTAAGTAGCTCTTCTGAAGCCTTGTGTCCGCCTTCTCTTGGAGTGTGGAACGACGGTTTTCCATACTTATTTAAAAAGGAAAATAAGTCAGAAATTTGACGTATGGATTAAAACCCCTGAAGGAAGGGGAGGGAAGAGAAGGGGAGTATGATTCAGTACGGCTTGTTTGGCAGAAAGAGTGTAGAATTTCTGGTTTCCCTTTTTCTGAAGATTCGGCGCGACATTTGAAAATGTGTTGGTAGTTTCGCACGATCTGGGTATACTGTGTTGAGACTAATTACAAATTTCCATTATTTGCAGTAGGCGTGGCTGCGTACTTGGACAGAACGAGGCAGCTACTCAGTTTTTTCGGAAGATATTTTGATTTTGGGACAGTTCAAATCATATCTCTGTGCA